TTGGATTTTCTTTTTTTTTTTAACGAAAAATATGAAAAGCAACAAAATATTTACAGTCAAACTAAACAGAAACAATTTTTAGTTTGTTTTTTTTTCATTGTAGACCCAACATTATGTCATGTATGTTTTTCCCAGCCAGTTTCAACACTGTGTAATGAACTAATCTGTAACAAAAAAGTAATGAACCATATAAAAGATAGAATTGTGCAGGCAGAATTGCTCATTACGCTCTGTTTCTGTCTCTGTATACTGTTTTGTGTTGGTGATTAAATGAATGCACTTCCAAATAACATAGAAATGAATGAATATGTGAGCGAACGCTGCACTGCCCCACATTCGCCACTAGAGGTCAGCGTTACCACAACAATGGGGCGCTGGAGCGCGTCTTCCAAACATGCAAAAGGTAATAAATTAGCGTGTTAAAACATTTGAAGACTTTAATTAATAGTTTATTCATTAAGTGGTTCATATAGAGCCTATTAAATGTTTATAGCAGTGTTTTTTGCAATAAAATCTAATCTGTTATATTCAGAGGTGGAAAGAACAGCCTAAAAACACAGTTGTGGGCAGTTTAATTTTACCATGATGTGAAATTCATTGAATGTTTAAAAAAAAAATAATAATAATAACAGTGAAGTCGACAGTTTAGCGAGAGAAAAATAACTTTGAAGGTCCAAAACTGTAACTGAAACTGTAAGTAATGTAGGTAAAAAGTATTGTGGTGCCGTTTTACGCCTGCGTTCTGTTTTAGCTTAGTTATCCCTGTCGTAGCTTCTCTTTAGCTGTTTCACTTTGGGGACTTTTATTGTTTTAGGAGTGTGTGTGTGGTGGTCGAAGGCTTCTGAGAGAGAGTGGATTGTTTTTATGATAGAAAAAGAGAGCTAGCCTAGCCTGGGTTAGGTTTTTTGTTTTTCCCTTTCTTTTAAAGAGCAACTTTAAGTATAGATCATGGCCTCTCCTGACTCCTCTTCTGAGCGCCGTGTCTGCATTCAAATTCAGTGACACTTCAGTAAAAAACAGATCTTCCAAAATGGTATATTAACAAAGTACAGTTACTGAAGTATCCCTGCTGCTGGCACCGGTATGGGGTCACTTTAAAACATTAAAACCACCTCCTTGTTTCTACGCTCACTGTCCATTTTATCAGCTCCACTTACTATATAGGTGCACTTTGTAGTTCTACAGTTACAGACTGTAGTCCATCTGTTTCTCTGCATACTTTGTTAGCCCCCTTTTACCCTGTTCTTCAGTGGTCAGGACGCCCACAGGACCACCACAGAGGAGGTGCTATTTGGGTGGCGGATCATTCTCAGCACTGCAGTAACACTGATGTGGTGGTGGTGTGTTAGTGTGTGTTGCGCTGGTCTGAGTGGATCAGACACAGCAGTGCTGCTGAAGTTCTTGAACACCTCAGTGTCACTGCTGGACTGAGAATAGTCCACCGACCAAAAATATCTAGCCAACAGCGTCCTGTGACCACTGATGAAGGACTAGAGGATGACCAACACAAACTGTGCAGCAGCAGACGAGCTATCGTCTCTGACTTTACATCTACAAGGTGGACTGACAAGGTAGGAGTGTCTAATAGAGTGGACAGTGAGTGGACACAGTGTTTAAAAACTCCAGCAGCACTGCTGTGTCTGATCCACTCGTACCAGCGCAACACACACTAACACACCACCACCACGTCAGTGTTACTGCAGTGCTGAGAATGATCCACCACCAAAATAGTACCTGCTCTGTGGTTGTCAAAGGGGGTCCTGACCACTGAAGAACAGGGTAAAAGGGGGCTAACAAAGTATGCAGAGAAACAGATGGACTACAGTCTGTAACTGTAGAACTACAAAGTGCTCCTATATAGTAAGTGAAGCTGATAAAATGGACAATGAGCGTAGAAACAAGGAGGTAGTCTTGATGTTATGCCTGATCGGTGTATAAACTGACCGCTCCTGAGATGAAGTCAATGAAGCACAATACAGCACAGCTAATCAGAACTGAGGTCATTTACATACATAAGTCTTAAATGCACAGTAACAAAAACAGACTCTTTGAAAAAGATAGCATGTAAAAGTGAATTCTGACTTTTTGGCTGTAATGAAGACCTCAGAGGGTAAACAGAACACAGGAAAAACGCAGGATATGAGCTCTTTTTTCTCTATATGGAAGTGGATGATGGCTACATTAGTGTAAGGCTGGACTGGGACATACATCAGCTGTAACATCAGACTGTATGGCAGGAAGTGATACAGTGGCTTTTCTCTCTGTTTGCTATGGCATTTCCTGTCCCACCCTTTAGGCATCGTAATCGCTCTCAGACACTTCCTTTAGCCTGAGTGACAGCGACAGCTCGGTTCTAGTTACATCCTCTGTACTAATGACTGTCACCCTCAAATGCACCATTCAGGAGTTCAGCTTTATGTTTTAGAACAGATGATTCTAATTAAGACACAACGGCGTAACTAGGATCTTATGGGCCCCAGTGCAAACAATTTACAGCCCTGTATAAAAAAGACTTTCACTGCATAAAAATGACCACATAATTTGTTTGTTTATTCACCATTGCCGTTGCACTCAACCCATACCATCCACTAGCATCTAACGTTAACCTAGTTAACCTAAAGTTAAGTTTGTCTGCTTACACTATATGGCCAAATGTATGTGGACACCTGACCATCACACTTATACACCGATCAGGCATAACATTATGACCACCTCCTTGTTTCTACGCTCATTGTCCATTTTATCAGCTCCACTTACTATATAGGTGCACTTTGTAGTTCTACAGTTACAGACTGTAGTCCATCTGTTTCTCTGCATACTTTGTTAGCCCCTTTTACCCTGTTCTTCAGTGGTCAGGACCCCCAAGGACCCTCACAGAGCAAGTACAATTTGGGTGGTGGATCATTCTCAGCACTGCAGTAACACTGACGTGGTGGTGGTGTGTTAGCGTGTGTTGCGCTGGTCTGAGTGGATCAGACACAGCAGAGCTGCTGGAGTTTTCCCTTTTGCAGCTGTCACAGCTTCCACTCTTCTGGGAAGGCTTTCCACAAGATATTGGAGTGTGTCTGTGGGAATGTGTGTCCAGTCAAAAGAGCTTTCGTGAGATCAGGCACTGATGTTGGACAAGAAGGCCTGGCTCACAACTGATGTTCCAGTTCATCCCAAAGGTGTTGAGTGCCTCAATAAAGATTTTAGGGGGTCCGGTCGGGCCTATTACTGTCAAAACATTTAAGACAGTTGTATGCTTTTGGCACCCCTGGTCAAATGACACATTTGTGCAAAAGTTATGGCACTTTTTATATTTTATTACTTCCCAATACTTGAAAATGTGACTCCAAAACTGTCAACATCAGATTAACAGCACTTAAAGCTTTCGTCTTGGAGAGAGAGAAGAAAATCAAGCTGCTTCAGATCTGAAAACATCCACAGGTGTTTCTGTCCATCCTTCCACTGTGAGATGACGACTCAGCGCTATGGGTCTGAAACGATGTGTAGCTGCCAAGGAGCCTCACTGAGAAAAGGAGACAGACACAAAAGAAGAACATTTGCACAAGAACACTGAAACTGTGGAGTGAGGTTTTATGGACTGATGAGTTCAAATTGGAGACTTTTGGAGGTAACAGAACGCAGTATGTGTCACCAAAAGCAATGAAAGATTCTTCAGACCACACCTACAACCATCAGTCTAGCATGGTGGAGGAAGTGCAGGTTTGGCGATGTGTAACAACATCTGGAGTTGGTGGTTTGTTTTTGACTGAAGGCATCAAGAATTCTGACATACAAACAAACTTTAGTACATCATGCAGAACCCTCTGGAAAAATGTTTGATTGGGAAGAAATTTATGTTACGGCAAGACAACGACCCAGAGAGGGTCAAGTGTTATTGGTCAAACAAAGAAAGCTGCTGGTGTTCTCAGAATTATGGACTGACCACTCCAGACCTCAACATCACTGAATGCCATTGGGATTGCTTGGATCATGAGAAACAGAAAATGCAAAACCAACTTCCAAGACTGAACTTTGGAGGTGTGGAAATAAGTCCCTGCAGACTTCTCTGAAAAACTGAATGAGTTTCCTGAAAAGAATGGAAGATGGAAGCTGTGATAAAGGTAGGTGGACACACTAAATACTGAAAATAAAGTGGGCTGTGTAAAAATGTTCTGTTTAATAAGTGTTCTCCGCTTTTTCTATACTCCGGTTTCCGGACTATAGAAAATTGGACATGCTAAATTGCCCCTAGGTGTGAGTGAGTGTGAATGTATGTCTGTCAGTCTGCCCTGCTATGGACTGGTCACCTGTCCAGGGTGCATCCTGCCTTCCACCTAATGACAGCTGGGATAGGCTGCAGCACCCCCCGCCCCCCAGAAGGATAAGTGGCTTAGAAGATGTGTATGTGTGTGTGTGTGTGTGTGTGTGTGTGTGTGTGTACTTTTTCTATGTTTTTCCTGACACCAAAAAATGAATAATTAGCCATTTTGACTGGAAATCAAATAAACAAAAGGGTGATCTCTGATTTTGCACAGCACCATAGATATTTTCCCCTCTCCAAATGATAACGTCTTGTGTAAAAATTATTTTTAAATGATTTAAATAAAGATGTAGTGGCTTTGGTAAAAAGCAGTTGTTTTGTTTCCTTCTAAAAAATAATAAAAGAATCAGAATAATTTCCTCTGTTCATGTAATCTCATCTTGTTAAGAAAAAGAAAAAACAAAAAAGTGTTTCCTGTTTGGTTAAGAATAATGGTTCTGTTTTCCTAACAATAACTAAATTAATCTACATTACATGTGAAAAATAACGATAATGTAAGTATGTTAAATAAATTATTAATTAAAGTAAAAAAAATAAAACACGAAATCTGCTGTTTGGCAAAGGATTTTTAATTCAAAGCTTCCCAGGAAAATCCCCTAAAACTCCAGTCTCCAGGATTTCCGTCTCTCCCGCAGTCCGCTCAGCCAATGAGGAGCCGCCTTTGGCAGCGCGCGGACCTGCTGCTCTCACATCTGGCCAGAGCGCTCGAGCCTCCGCGTCTCCCAGCAACGGCGCTCCTCGCTTCTCCCTCCGATTCCAGCCTCTAACTTCTCTAATTTCCAGTTTACGCGTATTTAAACTCCGCTTTCTGGAATTAAACCCGAGTTTGTTCCGTTTTATTTCCTCCGCGTTGCCTTCATATTCGTGCCGTTAGTATGTCCGCTGAAGACGCAGCAGCAGCAGCCCAGCAGCCGCTGGCTGAGGAGCGGGCGGAGGTGGAGCCGCAGGCCGCGGATCAGGCACCCGAACCCGCCCAAGAGCAGAAGAGCGAGTCGGTGTCCGAGACGGCGCCGGAAGACAAGGCGCCGGAGGTGAAAGAGGAGGAAAAGAAGGAAGAAAAGGAGGAGGATACGTTCACGTACCGCGCCCTGGTGCTAACGGGCTACGGCGGCTATGACAAAGTGAAGCTCCAGCTGAAGAAAGGCCTCCCGAGCCCCGGGGAAGGGGAAGTGCGGGTTCGAGTGAAGGCCTGCGGGCTAAACTTCGCCGAGCTGCTCGGCAGGCAGGGCCTCTATGAGCGGCTACCGTCTCCACCCGTCACCCCGGGGATGGAGTGCTCGGGGGTGGTCGAGGCTGTGGGAGAGGGAGTGCAGGACCGGCAGGTGAGTGTGGAGCACAGCCAGGATGGAGGGGCTCTGGCGGGTGGGCTGGTGGGAGGATGGGGGGCTGGGAGTGCGCAGCAGAGTTGATGAATTCACATATCCAGTGTTTAAATCACCTCCTTGTTTTCACGCTCATTGTCTGCTTTATCAGCTCCACCTACCATATAGGAGCACTTTGTAGTCCATCTGCTTCTCTGCATACTTTATAGCCCCCTATCAGACACAGCAGTGCTGCTGGAGTTTTTAAACAGTGTCCACTCACTGTCCACTCTATTAGACGCTCCTACCTTGTCGGTCCACCTTGTAGATGTAAAGTCAGAGACGATAGCTCATCTGCTGCTGCACAGTTTGTGCTGGTCATCCTCTAGTCCTTCATCAGTGGTGACAGGACGCTGTTGGCTGGATATTTTTGGTGGATTATTCTCAGTCCAGCAGCACTGCTGTGTCTGATCCACTCATACCAGCACAGCACCACCACCACGTCAGTCTCACTGCATTGCTGAGAATGATCCACCACCCAAATAGTACCTACTCTGTGGTGGTCCTGTGGGGGTCCTGACCATTGAAGAACAGAGTAAAAGGGGGCTAACAAAGTATGTAAACAGATGGACTACAGTCTGTAATTGTAAAACAACAAAACCCACCTGTATGGTCAGTGGAGCTGATAAAATGGACAATGAGTGTAGAAACAAAGAGGTGGTCTTAATGTTATGGCTGACCACTGTATATAGTATTAACATTAATTAACATCAATAGATCTTAATACTTAGAATAAGGCCCAGCCCTTATATATCTGATGTATGTTGAATGAATATGTCAAATGAACTCTTCAGTTTGGACACCTATAGTGTTGTATTAACATATATAGGTAGCTGGACATATATAAACTCTTTAATTCGGCTGTATATGCTTATAGGCTTGCTTTTAAATAAAAAGCCAGTTCTTATGAACGATTGATGTGGTATAGGAGAATCAGATAAACAGAGCTGACTAATCCTCAGTAATCATATTTAACGGGCACTGGGCTCTGGGGAGGGACTGCATGGGCGAGGTTTGCATTCAGAGAACATCAATAGGAGCCAGCAGCTCCTTTTCATAGGCCGTGCCTTAATAGATCTTAATACCATCTCCTTTCTCCAGCATGTTCTTCAGTATTCTTTGTAAATGTGTTGGGTAAGAGGGTTTCATTTAAGGCCTCGTCTGTCATCTCCAAAATTTTTATGGACTAATTATAGACGTTTATAGAATGAACACCCATAGCAGCTTACTGGAATATGTTGTCTCCAGCTGTATGGTGATTCACTTAGGCATATGTATAGAATTTGAATGGAAGCTTAATTCATTTAGCTCCTATTTGACAGTGTTCCATTTTATGATGCTAATAACAACAATAATAATAATAATTTGTATGGCACACTGTCATAATAGAGCAATCTTAAGGCTTTTTTGTAAGTCTAGTCTCGCAGAAAGTGCCGAAGTTTGAACTTTCAACACAAACTCCCACAATGTCTACTTTATATCCAGACAGATATGGTATATTATGGGTTACGCAGCTCGGTTACGGAATATTACAGGTTAGTCTGCTTTGTTCCGGCATATTATGGGTTACTTACTCAGTTACCATATATAATCTCTTATAATATATAGTATATAATATAAAATTATGCAGTATCCCGCTTGGCCACCATATTACAGGTTAGGCCATTTGGTTATGTCAAGTTACTTGTTACACTTCTTGACTGTGCCATATTACTTGTTATGGTTAGGTTATATTATGTATTACAATGTTTGGTTATGCTATATCACATGTAATATCGCTCGGTTACATCATATTACAGTTTGCGCTGTTATTCGATGTTACAGGTTATACTGCTTAGTCATGCCATACTACTTAGTGCAATGCTCAGTGCCATATTATGGGTGTCACTACTTGATTATATCATATTATTCAGTACACTGTTCGGTTAGCCATATTACAGGTTATTCCACTTGATTATACCACATTACCACTTATACTGCCTGGTTACATTATATTAAATTACATTATATTACATTATGTTACAGGTTACACAACTCAGTTAGGCCATATTACTTGTTACAGTTTCTGGTTACGTCATATTGCAGGTTGTGCCGCTTGGTTTTACAACCCCATTTCCGAAAAGGTTGGGACGCTGTGAAAAATGTAAATAAAAATAAAATGCAATTATGTGCGAATCATTTAAACGATAATTGAAAATAAGGACAAACTGAGAAATTTTATTGTTTTTTGAAAAATATTTTGCCCATTTTGAATTTGATGCCAACAAGACGTTCCAAAAAAGTTGGGACACGGGCAACAAATGGCTGGTAAAGTTGTGTAATGCAAAAGAAATACCTGGTGGTTGATTGACAACAGGTCAGTAACATGATTGGGTATAAAACAGCATCCCAGAGAGTCTGAGAACAATGCGAAGAACGTTTGGTTTTCCTCATCTAAAGTACATAATAACATTAAAAGATTCAGAGAATCTACAGAAAACTCCAGATGCAAGGAACAAGACCAAAAAACAGTATTTGCTGGCCGTGATCTTTGGGCCTTTGGGCAGCACAGCATTAAAAACAGGTATGATTCTGTAGTGAAAATCACTGCATGGGCTCAGAAACACTTCTGAAAACCACTGCCTGTGAAAACAGTTTGTCGCTGCATCAACAAATGCAAGTTAAAACTCTAAAATGCAAAGAAGAAACCCTATATAAACAGGATCCAGAAACACCGCCGCCTTCTCTAACCACTCAGCTTGTTATCAGTGCACAGTTCTAAAGCCAGGTATAGGGGTGCATTAGTGCACATGGCGAGGGTGATGTGCACATCTGTGAAGGCACCATTATTGCTGAATGATATATACATGTTTTGGCAACATATGCTGCCATCCAGACGACGTCTTTTTCAGGGAAGGCCTTGATTATTTCAGCAAGACGATGCCAAACCACATTCTGCATGTATTACACCAGCATTGCTCCATATTAAAAGAGTCCAGGTGCTAAACTGGCCTGCCTGCAGTCCAGTCCTGTCACCACTGAAAGCGTTTGGCACATTATGAAGTGAAAAATATGACAAAGGAGACCCTGAACTGTTAAGAAAAAAAGGGAAAACAATTTCACTTTCAAAACTACAGCAGTGTCTCCTCAGTTCCCAGACGCTTACAGAGTGTTGTCAAAAGAAGAGGTGATGAAACACAGTGGTAAACATGTGTTGTTGGTATCAAATTCAAAATAGGCATATATTTGTCAAAAAATAACACAATTTCTCAGTTTCAACATTTGATTTGTTGTCTTTGTACTATTTTCAATTAAATAAAGGGTTTAAATAATTTGCACATCATTGAATTTTGTTTTTATTTATATTTTGCACAGCGTCCCAACTTTTTTGGTAATGGAGTTGTACTGTATTACCAGTTATATGGTGTCGTTACATCTTATTATGGGTTACACCACTCAGTTGTGCCATATTACTTGTTACGGTGCTCAGTTACACCCTATTACAGGTTGTGCCACTTATACTATGTTACCAGTTACACCGTATTACTTATTACGCTTCCATGTTATGCCACTTGGTTATACTGTATTACTCGTAATGCCACCTGGTGACATCATATTACACTCAGTTATGCCATAGTACTTGTTAAGATGCTACAGGTTACACCTCATGGTTATACTAAATTGTTGCTTATATCGCCTGGTTGCGTCATATTACGGGTTACACAACTCGGTTACGCCATATTGCTTGGATACCAGTCACAGCTCGTTCATACCGTAGGGCTGATATTGAGGAAGCAGGGCCTCCCATCTATGGCAGACCCTCCCATGACATCCCATTATCTGCCTTATGACACCTGTTGCCATGGCGACAGAAAGTCGGAGAGGAAATGGGAGAGACGATGAAGCTGAGGCAAAGAGTCTCCTGATAGAAACAGGCATTTGGAGCGCTGACACCTGTTGCTGACCGAAAGGCAGGGACTCTCGCGATACTAAATCACAGATTTTGAGGAATTGAGGAATGTCCTGCACAGAAACATGAACCCTAGTTTATGATATTGATTTATTTTTTGACCTTATCCATATATAAAACATTTTTAATCATTTTGATCGATCACTCAATGTCACACTGCGCTCTTTCTCCCTCTCTCTCTCCCCCCATTACTCAGTGTGTGTGAGTGAGCACAGCCCAGTCCCATATGAGCATAATTATCCTCCTTTGTCTAACATTGTCAGTTTGGTATTTCCTATCCCGCCCCTACACACACACACACACAACTGCACACGCACTGAGCGCCGTCACACTCAAAATCGCTATCCGCGCACGTCACGTTCCCGAGGATTTTGGACGCCCTACCTCTGTCTCTCTCTCTCTCTCTCTCTCTCTCTCTCTCTCTGCTCGTTTCTTTGCAAGAGCCGCAGTAGATCACAGTGTCATGAAAGATCTGCACAAACAAAAACACAGTGGGCCGAAAAACAAAATAACAAAAACACACTGCAGTGCAGCCTTGGCTTTGCTTCGCTATGGTCATGTTTGTCTTGGCCTTTGGAGCGGTCTCTGTATCGTCCAGCCCTGATCTGAGGCCGCTGCAGCTGTTTCTGTGATTACGGGTACAGTTCTAATGGGGTTAGCCTCGATTCCAGTCAGTCTGCATTCATCTGGATACGGTAAAATATTATTGAGTAATGGATCTGGCCCCTGGAAATGGTGGTAGAAGCTTGAATAAGCAGCAAATCCTGCTGCATTGAGCCATCGAGGCTATTTTTACAACTTAAATATGGCGTTTCTTTGCATTTCAGTGCACGTTTTCAGTTTATTTTATGAGTTTAACAAAAAATAAAATATAAAATGTGGCGTTACTTTGGCACAGGCCACATGTGATGTTTTGTTTTTTTCTAGTATGTTAAAATCAGTAAATAAGCAGCAAGTTGCTTATTTTCATGTAGATAAGCAATAGAATATGTCATTTGAACAGGGGCGCCAGGGTGCTTTTGTCCATGTTTATAGATAACAGTGTGTCATACAGCGTCAGAAACCACACAGGCAAGTCTGATAGAGATTACTTAACAAGTTGACACAGATTGAGGCAATAAGCCACATTAGTCCGCATTATGCTAATTGGTGATCATAAGCTTCCATTACTTGTTAGCTACATTATACTCATAGCGTCAGTGCAAAACTAGAGAAGCGAACTTTCATCCCCAAACATGTCTTGGCTGATCGACTACGTTTGGACTGAGGGAGAAAACTGTGTAAATTAGATTTTTGGCTGAACTATCGCTTTAAGGTCGCTGGGACTGAACAGCAAACGTTGAAGAACAGTTTCCCATTGGCAGCTAACAGAGGAGGACGGGGTTTCCTCGCTTTGTGTGCTGCTTAAGAGAGGGAAGAGGAGAAGAAAGCAATGCTGGTGGGAAGGAGGGCTGCTGATGGATGGGTAACGAGAAGGAAGGGAGAAGAGAGAGAGGGAGGGAGAGAGAGAGAGACTGTGCGGGTTAGTGGGAGGTGGCTGCACTCTTGCCGTTCAATCTGCCTCTCCACTTTTTCCTACTCAGAGGCTTTGGCCTGCGTTTTTTGTGAGTTTTTGTATATTTTTGAGACGTTGAAATTATTTTGTAAAGGGCTTTTACAAAGAAATGCTCCATGTTTTGCTTTTTTAAAACTTCAAGAGCTAAATCATTTCTTGTTGGTTACTGAGGTGAAGGTTAGTGTCAGATTATAAAGCATATTATTACTACTAATAGATGCTTACATACATGCTGCTGTCGGAACAAAACCTCATCTCCAAAATGGTAACTTTACAGGAGAAAGAAAAAACATACTTTACTTTTAATGTAAGTCAATGGAACCAGACTTTTTTCCATGTCATTTTGGGTCATTTCTTTTGGTCTATTCATCACGAAATTTACACACAACATACAGGCCAACAGGCATCTTCAAATTTTGTCAAAAACTGAAAAACGACAAAAATGCTGATACAAGGTTTTGTTTCCAAGAGCAGCGATATATAATAGATATAGGGCATATTACACCTTTTCATTTATTTAACTTCCAGACAAAACAGCAATTAAGTATTAGAATTTCAGTTCCAGACAAATCAGAAGCCTCAACAATTAAATATAATATCAATTTGTTCTGTATTAATATGTCCACTCTTTATCTTTATTACAGCTTCCATTCTTTTCAGGAGACTCACTTTCAGTTTTTTAAAGAAATCTGCAGCCACACCTCCAAAGTTCAATCTTAGAAGTTGGTTACATTTTCTGCTTCTCACAATCCAAAATAATCCCAAATTACAAATTTAGATTTATCAGTCCATAAAACCTTACTCCAAATCTCAAATGTCCAGTTTTGGTGTTCTTGTGCAAATTTTTGTATCTGTTTCCTTTTCTCATTAATGGCTTCTTAACAGCTACACATCCTTTCAGTCTCATAGCTCTGAGTCGTCTTCTCACAGTGGAAGGATGGACAGAAGCACCTGTGGATGTTTTCAGATCTGAAGCTGCTTGATTTTCTCCTCTCTCTCCAAGACGAAAGCTTTAAGTGCTGTTTACCTGATGGTGGTAGTTTCGGTGGTCTACCAGTGTCTTGCAGGCAGTTGTTAGGAGTCTCATTTTATCTCTAACTTTCAACAATGTTTTCGACTTTTCTTTTGGACACTGTTTAGTTATTTTCCTCTTTTGTATTCAAGTGGATTATCTTATATCAAATCTCACAGTGAATATCTTGGCTGTTTTAACAGGAAATAAAAAAATGCAAAGAAACATAAATGCAGTGAAAACAACATGCACTTCCTCTTTTTAAAATGTTGATATTTTGTTAGCTAATTTGAAGAAAAAAGTTTGCTCTCAGATTTCTCCTCAAACCCCATAACGTGAATTTGTTAAATATCATTAATCAGGTATTGGATAATAACTACAGTACATGCTGCACTGCCACAAGGGAAAAACAGAAACACTGACCTTTATAAACTAGTACTTGGGTTTATATTATTATAATTACAGTATTAAAGTTATTAGTATTCAATGTAACATTACTTTTTTTCTAAACAAATATGTGCTTATGTTCAGATAAATAGCTTTTTCAATCTAGTTTTCACAAGTGGGACATATTATAATTTATTACTTATAGATACATGCATGAACCTGGAACCTGGCAATGTAGTATTTTATCGTTATTGTGATAAGGCTTGTTAAATTGGGTTTAATCCAGTACAGGATGTGGAAAGTTGAATAAAAACCATTATACCAAGGATTTTTAAATGTGGCACTAATAATGCATTGTGCCTGGTTGTCAAAATATCATTCACTATTGTATATGGGCTCTCAGGAGCTGTCCTAAAATGGTTCAGTTCATATCTGCAAGGAAGGGACTACTTTGTGGAAATTGAAAATAATATTGACCTGAGAGAGTGCCAGTGAACTGTGGTGTGCCACAGGGTTAAATTCTTGGGCCACTCTTATTTAATTTATACATGCTGCCTCTTGGCCAAATACTACAAGACTATGGGATATCGTACCACAGCTATGCAGATGATATTTAGATCTACAGGGTACTTATCTGATCTGCTGCAGCGATATGAGCCAAGCAGAACTCTAGTCCTGCCAAAGGTGAAGGTGAAGCGTTTAGCTACTATGCTGCTCTTAAATGGAACCGGTTGACAGAGAGCGTTTGAAAGGGCTGCAAACACCAGACACTTTTAAATCCAGACTTAAAACGTGCCTATTTGAGCAGGTTTCCGCTCAGTTTAAAACACTGTTAACTCTTCTAGTCCTTCTCTGTAACGACACTTTATTATCCTAATTTAATTTCTAATTTGGTTTTCAATTTAAAGTAGTTCTCTTTTTAAATCTATTGTTTCAATCATGTTTATTTCTACTCTCCTTTACTTTTTAAATGACTCTGTATTTTCTCATTTGCAAGACACTTTAAATGACAGCCATGTATGAAAGGTGCTACATAAATAAACTTGCCTATATCACGAAATATATGACAATATGATTGTGACAGTATGATTTTGGCCATATCACCCACCCCTATTCCTGAGAAAAGTTTTTGCGTGCGCTTTTGGCTGATGTTGAGTGTTTAAAGGAAGCACATGGTCTGAAGCATTGGGCTCAGTAGTCTGTTGGCTGTTGGTCCCAGTCCCAGTAGAGGCGTTAGGGGAAGTGATTATAGACATAGTCACCTGTGACCTGTGAACAAAACACATTTCGAGAAAAACTGTTCCTCTGCAGTGCACACTCAGCTCTGATGGAGCGCCTTCACACAGAGCAGTAAACACACTTTCTCTCCGCCTTTCTCTTTGTAATTCCCTTCCGGCATTGTTTGTTTCATTTGTCATCTCGGGGACGTGACACAAAAGGCATCTCGACGAAAAAGACAATGTGGGATTGTAAAAGGGATAAACAGTTTTCGCACGCAAACACATGAACCGTACAATTTTTTTTTTTAATTAAGGGGCGGGGGGGTCAGGCATCAACACCTCCCCACCCATCACACGCTCACTCACTTATTTGGTTACATTCAAATCAGCACAGAATTACACCAACCAATCAAAATGGATCAAGACCATTTTCCAACCTCTCTCTCTAACCCTTAGAATTAAACAGGCTGTTTTTTGTTATTGAGACTTTAAGACTGATATATGTAAATGAGCTCTGTTCTGATTGGCTGCCCTGTATTGCGCCACATTCAAAAAGCAGTTCAAGCTGAAACACTCTTTATAACTTCGCTGTGAATGGAAGCTGCTGTGCACTGAATTGGGTGATAATGGGATGTAAATGTGTTTCATGACGCTAAAAAACATTGAGCTAAAAGCAGCTAAAGTTCCATACAGTTATATGCAAACGTTTATTTGCTGAATTTATCAAATAGGCAAAAAGGCATAAAATATAGCATAAAATAAATGTTATGCACATTTATTATTTTAGATTTTATTCTCTTCCAACATGTTAAACTCAGCAAATAAACAGAAACTGTGCACTTTTGAAGAAAAATGCCCCTCTGTAGAGGATGTGTCAACTTATTTTACCTTTAAAAATCAACAAAACTTTAAACATTCATGTTTACCTGCAACAGAAACTCATTCCAAAACTTCTGTGAGATAGATATGAACTTTATATAGTGAGTGTGTAATGAAATGTTTAAAAAAGCATAAAACACCATGTTCCTCTGCAGGTTGGAGACAGTGTGTTGGTCCTGGGTAGGTGTGGCCTGTGGCAGGAAGTGGTCGTGGTCAAGGCTGACCACAGCTTCCTCATGCCAGATGGAATGAGCTACGAGGAGGCCGCCGCTCTGCCCATAAACTACATCACTGCTTACATGATGCTGTTCGAAATGGGCAACATCAGACCCAATAAAAGTGTCCTGATTCATATGGCAGCAGGTAAGAACACAATTACACACAATTTGTTTTTATATCATGTCAGGATCTGGCATCATACATAATATATGTCATATGTAATAATAATATGCCATATGTACATATGAAGTGTTTAATTCCAAAATGCATTACTGACCACTTTTAAGAATTTTCTTTAAGAAATATAAATGCTACATTATGATTAATACCACCTGAATTTCATTTTTTTTATTATATATCAGCTATTATTCTTTTCAAAAACTTGTTATATCCAAAATTGTTACAATATTGTTACATATTGGATACAGAGGATTTGGTAGTGAAACTCTTCATACATTCACATAATTAGAAACTTAAATATGGCATTTTTAGTTTTAGAGCACAATTTGAAATTATTTGCTGAGTTTAACCTAACCAGCCCCCCCAGCGTATCCTTCTGGGTCGTGGGGGGAGCTGGAGACTATCCCAGCAGTCAATGGACGTAAGGCAGAAAACACCCTGGACAGGTCGCCAGTCCATTGCAGTGCAGACGGACTGACATATACATTCACACACACACTCACACCTAGGGGCAGTTTAGCTTGTCCAATCGGCCTGACCACATGTCTTTGGCCTGTGGGAAGAAACTGGAGCACCCGGAGGAAACCCACACAGACGCGGGGAGAACATGCAAACTCCACACAGAAAGGAGACTGGTTTCCCGGCCGGGAATCGGACCCAGGCCCTTCTATGAAATAATGCGCTATAACTTTTGCAAAGGCCACATTTTATGTTTCATGTATTTATACAATATGATCAATTTAGCAAATAAACTAAAATCAAATGATTCTTCCTTAAAATGTGCAGAGGTTTTGCATCCGACTATATATAACAAGAATATGTGCCATATGGAATATATAAGAAGAATCAAGAAGAATCAGTGCAGTCCAGACTGTTTTCGCATGAGTCACAATAGTACTTATAGTCAAAATGTATAACAGTCATTAGCTTAATGCTAGCTTACATGGGAATTCCCATTGACGGGCTAGTGGAAATTAGCATTATGTTGGCAGTAGAAATTTGATTTTAAAAATGCCACTTATAAAGTTAAATTAGAAACAGTTTCTGGTTACGTTTTTTAACTGTTTTTATCATCCCTGGAACAATGTGACTGGTGAGCACAACTAAGGCATGCTTAAAGCAGATTTAAATCCCATCTATTAGAGTTTTGGTCACATATTTATCTTCTCAACATGAAAAGCACATGTACAACAACTTACACAACCCAAGAAGAATCTGTATAATTCAGACAGTTTTTTGCATGAGTCACAATAGTACACATAGGTCTCTTTTCCACTGCAGGGCCAAACGGTTCTGAGCACGGTTTCCCATTTATGTTGGTATTTTGCCACCATAAGTTCAGTTCGCTAACATGGATGCCAAATAAATGAAAGCAGTGTACAATTTTAAATCCATCATTCAATAAACATCAAAGTTTCAATCTAACACCAATTTCTAAATGTTAAACAGTGCTGCTAACCAGGAGAGAGTAGCTGATTAGTATTAGCTTAGCTAGCATGCTGCCGGATCTGCTTACACAGAACAGGTTCGATTCTGACTAACAAACGCTTGACTGACACAAGTTTGGATGATAATAACTCAACTCTGAGGAAGCCAAGTCGAGCGGCTTGTGTTACAAAGACAGAAAACTCAAATAAAGCTTGTTCTGTGGTGTTTGGAGCTGTAGCTAATGCTAGCTGGCGCCTCTCTCCTTAGCTAATGAGATTCAAACACCTCAGAACGGTCTGATTCAACTAACAGATGCTCTGCTATCACAAATATAGATGATAAAAACTTATAATAGTGAGAGAAAAGTCAGCTGACTGGTGTTGGTGTGATAAAAAGCCGAAATCGAACCTGTTCTGTCGTGATTTAAGCTATAGACTGCTAGGCTAAGCTAATGTGAGCATAGGTTGCCGCCTACTGCAGTGCAGGCTCGGTTTCAGTAACTGACACTTAATAACACCAGTTCAGGCGATAAAGAATCTGAGAGCGCGCTGAGAGACTGGTGTCGGAGGGACAGACAGAATTAATGGTGGGTGGTGTGTGTATGGTTATTAGCCTGTTAGCAGTTAGCCACTCTTTTGTATAGTTTTTTTCTGTATTTCCTGTTTCTGGTTTAACAGAACAGCAGATGGAAACCCTAACCAGTCTGATGAGTCTGGACTAGCGCAGAACGGAACAGTAAGGCCCTGAGAACCATTTGGCTCTACAGTGGAAAAGAAGCCAAAGTTAAAATATACTCTTCAGTTCTCAGTTCTTATGGACACTAAGCTGCCGTGGTTTAAGTTCATCACAACCATGAACACGTTTACAATGATCGTCCATTTCAGCCTGGACAGCTTTTTGCAGTTGGCAAAATACAGAACAGCCAATCAAAACAGAGATCAGTCTTAAAGGCACAGCAACAAAAGCAGTTTAGTTGAAAGGTATAAAGAAAATTATAGTGAATTATGACTGTGGTACCTAGAACCGCACAAATGTTATAAGTGAACCTTAAGGAGGACCAAATACAAAGTGGTAATGGGTAAAGGTTAATGGAGTTTGGCATTTGGTTAAGGTCAGGTGACAAGCTGGGGTTAGCTGTAAGTTTAGTTAGCTAAAAGGACTGACATCTAGTAATACTGTAAAGTAAGGATGCTTACCATGCTAGCTAGCTAGGATAGTCTGCTAGCAGGGAGAGTGTGTTTGTGTCTGGTAATGGCCCAATTATGAATCTTTACAATAATTTATACAACAATTAGCTCCGGCCACGCAAGCTGATTGGTTGAGAAACGTTCTAACCATACTGATATTTTGCCATAACAGCACAGTTTTTTCAAAAACACTGTATCACTCCACTGAGACGCCGTTGCTAAGCAACGACTTTGACAGCTGTAGGAGATGCTCAAGCCATTTCAGTGTTTTTACTTCTTACTTTGCCACAAACAGAAAATGGACACTTTTAGAATCACATTTGACCGACAGCCAATTTGGTCAGACTCTGAAAATGAGACTACACTAAATTCCCAAACTGTCATCACCACTGAGCAGCTTTTCAGTTGGCAGCTGTGACAACCTAAACAACCTGGAATTAGCCAGAAATTAATGGAATACCATTCGCCAAACAAAATGGGCTGTAAAATGCTTTACAGACTGGCTGGAACAAAACAACATTAAGACTGATCTAGTAAAAATTGACAAAACTGAGCTAAACCTGATATTGCGGTAGTTTTATGGCTCAGTCCGTACTTCAGAGGGCGAGGCTTACAGCAGACTGTGCAGCGAGTTAGCGGAGTTCGTTACTCTGACGTAGCAACAACCTGCTTCTTAAGGAACTATAATTTGGTGGAAGGAACTGCGAACATTAAAACATATTAAACGCTGTGTTCACAGCCCAGTTTATTAATTTCTTACTTTATTTATTTAACTGTTGTATAAAAGCAATAGAACACTCAAGGTTGTGTGTTATCGCAACCAAATCACAGCCGTGATGTTATTTCGCGATAACACACTCCCTCTCAGGTTCTATTGCTTAGATATCAACATATGGTAGCTATGTCCATTTGTTGATAAGTAATATCCACTACATGCTTACATTACTGACCACAGAAAGCCTATGGGGAAGGAAAGTAAACAAAAGCTGAATAGATCACTGAATAGATGTTGATGTTTTCTCTGGGTGGCGGTCACATTTGGTATTTTTGCTTGTGTGTGTTCATATATCTCTGTGTTTGAGTGTCCGTCTGCAGCGCTAGGCCTCTGGTTTCCACCAGAGAGTGGTGTGTTTTTGCCACATTTCCGTTTGTCTTGGCCGGCGGATCTAGGTCAGCCCCTCATTCTTCGGCGGAGACGTAGAACCCTCGGCTTCGGCTTTAGCTCTGAAACCACAGGATCCTCAAACATCCACATGAGTTATAGAGGCAGTCCAGCCTCTGCCTGGAGCAGGCTCTATCCGCTAAGAACTGCTACGAGGAATTAGCGCTGTAATTTATGCAGATGTTGTGCTCGTGCTTCACTACGTCAGATACTGAGGGCCATCCAGCTTGAGAGCTTTATGGACCTTGATGACATGGCTGTGTTTAAATATTTTGGTGAAATGTTTTTATGTGCTCTGGGATGAATTTACTCAAACTTTTTACGACATTCAAAATTGCTATACTCCTTTTTTTTCTTTTTTTAAGCTTGTGATTGGTCAGTTTGTGAGTAGCATGGCCAAAATAAAGATCATGCCTCTGAAATTGTTTGCGTCAATGCCACTGCCATCCACAGCTGGACAAGCTGTCAGTAGGTGGGAGAGATGTCTTAGTTTGTCTCTAATCATTCATGCAGTGGAATGCTAGCCAACATATTGTATATAGCGTTTAGCATCAAATCAAACTAAATCTATTTTTGCTATAATAATAAGTGGGTGGTAATAGGCTAGCAATGGAGGAACCATATGCTAGCTTTCCCCCTTCCAGGTTGTTTAACAACCTTCTGTTAAGGGAACTGCTTATGATTAACACTGAAGGAAAACTTTTCAGAATTCCAAAAAAGATGTTGTGAAGTCCAGAAGTCCAAAAAATGGTCTTAGTGCACTTACTTTTGCAGTGTTACCACAACTGCAAGTCTCGAGTCTCAAGTCTTTGAGGTGCAAGTAGGGGTCCAGTCTCAAGTGTCTGAGGTGCGAGTCTGAGTCAAGTCTTGAGCCTCTGAGGTGCAAGCGTGGGTCGAGTCTTGAGTCTCTGAGGTGCAAATCCGAGTCAAGTCTTGAGTCTCTTAGGTGCAAGTACGAGGCGAGTCTCGAGTTTCTGTGGTGCAAGTCCGAATCAGGTCGTGAGTCTGAGGTGGGAGTCTGTGGTTAACCCGAGTCTTTGATGTGTGAGTCAGAGGCAAGTCTCGAGTCTCTGAGGTACGAGTACGAGGCGAGTCTCGAGTTTCTGTGGTGCAAGTCCAAGTTGAGCCTTTGAGGTGCGAGTCTGAGTCTTGAGTGTCTTAGCTGTAAGTCTGAGTCTCTAAACTGC